TGAATTGAAGACTGCCTAAATAAGTGATCTCTGGTTAAGTGATCAATTATTTTAAGAAATCATAGTTTAAAATAAAATCTATTTGAATTTGATCAAGTTTTGGATTTTTTTTTAACCTTTGCTATCTAAGAAACTGGTCAGCCAAGATACAAACATACCTTATTCTTCTCTAAGAAAATGTCCCTAACCCCTTTCTTAGACCACACACTATAAAGCAACCTACTAAGTGCTTAATAAATAAATGCCTGCTGATTAACAAGAGCTTATTGTATAAACATTAAAAACTACCTGTACTCTAAATATATCATGGACAAGATGATACCAAAAAAACAAAAACCAAAAAAAAAAAAAAAAAAAACAAAAACAAAAAACAAAACCCCAGCAACTATTAAACCCAAGAAAATTAACTACAAAAAGCTTCTAAGAATATAGTATTTTAAATTTCACCCATGCATGACAGTGATTAGGTAAGTGACCACTAAAATTACACATGGATAATTAAAGGTATTCCTGCAAAATGAGTGCTATATACAATATACAAATACCTATAACAAGGTTCTGCTACAAAGACCATAACAAAATTACACTGCTATAAAATAAGTTGAAAACTAGACTCCATCAATTGGATTGGGACATAATTACTGTGAGCCACAGTTCTGTCTAAAGTATTCTCCTGAATTTTTATACAGTTAAGAAGTGCTAAAAGAATAGTATTAAAGGATGCTAACTTGTCTGTAAATAAGGTCTTCTTTTGGGGGGGCCAGCCAGGATAAAAAGTCAATTTTTTGTTTTATTGAAAGTGAAGTAGTGTAAAAGACATCAAGCTTACATGTATGACTGGACAAAGGAGAAGGCCACTGACATATTAGAGGGCAAGATAACATCAGGCCATATCAGAATACTTCAAAGCCCTTGGAATGTGTCCTGAGTGCCTCAGGTAGAGTCAGATAGAAGATTTATGGAAAGTCACAAACACTGCATAGAAAGAAAAAGCAGGTATGACTTGTAGCATCAGTGGAAGAAATACACATGGAATGGAAAAAAAATTATTATAGTAGAATTGTAAAAAAAAAATACAGGGGCAGCTAGCTGGCAAAGTGGATAGAGCACCGGCCCTGGAGTCAGGGGGACCTGAGTTCAAATCTGGCCTGAGACACATAACCCTCACTAGCTATGTGACTCTGGGCAAGTCACTTAACCCCAATTGCCTCACCAAAAAAAACAAAAAACAAAAAACCAAACTATATCTATAGATATATAGTAAAAAAAATTAAGCTCATAATTTACTTATACTCCAAGGTATCTACACACCACCCAGGCTATACTCTAGCCATCATCCATCTCAAAGCCCATGTCCCACCCAACCCCATGGGTACAACCTTTGGTGGACTTCACCCCTGGGACCTGGCCTATTGCTTTATTGTGTCTATCTCCAAACCAATTCTGGGCTTTTCCACACCATATCTCCACTCTCCCATCCCCACCTTTTCCAGCTCCCCTTTTTGTGTTATCTTTCCCCAACAGAAAGTAAGCTGCCAGAGGCCTGGGACTTCTATTTGTCTTACCAGGACTAACACAATACCAGCACATAGTAAGCACTTAATAAATGCTTTCCCTATCTACTGTAATGGTGTCCCAAAGATCTTGGTGCACTTTTAAGCTATTTAAAACTGCACCAAGACCTTTGGGACACACTATACAAGCCTACTAAATTTTAAAATTCTTTTAATAAGATCAAAAACATAAAGAAGTTGAATTTCAAAATGTTCTCTGGGACATTAAGGCAATTCTTTATTCAGGATTTTGAATATGAAACTTTAAGATTTAAACACACAGGATTACAGATTCTTAACTATTTGAACAAGGTAGAAGCAATGATTCCACTAATGCCACTTCTACATTCCAATCAAGACTAAAGTCTGCATTCAAGCTAAACCTTACTTAGAAAAACCAAGCCATTTCAATAAGTGTTTTATTTCAGTCCCAGGGACTTAAATTAAGGTACTGTCCTTTCAATGAGGCATTATGATTCATGCGGCAGTTCTCCACCACTAGTCACACACAAATCACTCCAGAACATGCCTCCAGGAAATGGACCCCACAAGAGGGTGGAGCTTTTCTCATTTTCCACAAAGCCACTGGGTCTTCCAAACCCTCAACATGTTTCAGAATGCATTTTCAATATGGACTTCCTCTAGCAATAAGAAGAAAGATTAAGGATTAAATCCATAGTGAAATCATTAGTAACTTTTAGTATCACTTACTAGTAACAATTATATCAATCAGTGTTACCTCAAAATTTAAATCCTTTTACTTAAGTGTCCCAAGAGGCCAAATTTAGCTAAAGCAATCCCCTTTGTGAGACTACTCCTTTTAAGGGAGTACAGTGAAAGTCCAACGGGGTTAAGGCAACCGGATAGACACACATTCCTCTTCAATGTAAAAATAACCTTAAATAAAAATAAGGATTTTACATATGAGCCATCAACTTAGTTGATCCCTAATCATAAAACCCATTTGAGGATCTCACATGCCAGAATAAAGGGAAAGATGAGAGGACTTGGTGCCAGAGGAAATAATGACCTACATGGCAGTTAGACACTTTTTAATGGTCTGGGCTCTATTACAACTCATTCACCATAATAAAAAACATGTTACTAAAGCGTAATACCTAGTTGTCTTTAAACCCAATAAGGAATGCCTTCAAAACCTAGCCACATGTTCCATACGCCACAAAATACCCCTTCAGGCTGGAAGATCCTCACTCTACAATTTAAAACACTTTTCTCTGCCAATTAAAAAGGGAAGCTTTTGGTTCTAGTTTGGAGGTGCTCTCCACGGTCCTCTTATCCTCAACTCCAGAGCTCCAGAATCAACTTTAACCGAGCCCTACTTTGGACTCAGGAACATAAAATAGGCATCTCTTGAGCTCAAGAATGTTTTTAAAACTGCCCATGTATTTCATGTAAAGGAATCCTTTTGTCTTGCCACTCTACACTCTTTCATTAACCGTGACATTAATTATCTCAGAAGACTAAGACAGCAATAGATTTCATGAAAACAACACACCCAACACTGACATGAGCAAAACCATCATCCTCCAAAATTCAGTTTCACCCAGTGTGGCAGAAACATGCCACATATGACTTGGGAAGAAACACGAACCGTATGATATACCACGTACTACACCATAATTAGGTTGAGTTAACTAAGGTATTCTGGCATCAACCTAAAATTTCCTTGTTTTGGAAGTGCTACACCCTATAAAGTACACCATCACTGAGTAATTTAACAAGAACTCTGTGGCCTAACCAATTGCAATAAAGTCAGTTTTGAACGTGTAAAGGAATCCTTGTCTGAAGGTCAACTTAAGTCCAATAAGTAATAATACTATTGGGTTAATTAAGGTAAAACTGACTCTGCCTTCCCCTCTAAACAATCACTTCTCCCTTCCTGCTCCAAGTTCTTAAGGTCCATGGTTTTGGCCTACAAGTTATTTTTAAGACCCTCATAAGAATCACTCAGAAGAACTGAACCTTTTTATGGTCTTTCTTCTCCAACGGAAAAGCTATTTTTGTTACCATTCCACGGACACAGTTACCCTGGTTCTCACTGAAACAGAATGATTATGTACAGCAAATTGATTTGTAGGTATGTGTAACAACCCAGAAATAATAACTATGATTTTATTATTAAACTTGAAAAGGCACCCAGCTGACAACCAACGAAGCTTTCACAGTAAGTGGAGGGAACAAAAAGGAACCAAATCTTTTCTTCCTCTGTATAGATAAAACTCACGTTCGGGTGAGCAAAGGAACTGGTGGATTTATTATTATTTTTCAAAATGGAAAGTGCCACAATGAGACCATAAATGGGGCAAATTTCATCTCCAGCAGCCTTATTATGTGCCAACTTCGGAAGCCCTCGAATACAAGGAGTGTATTAATGGAAGGGTTGATACCATCGCACTACAGTGGCCTCTCTGTAGTTCAGGACAATGATCTGTTGAGGGTTTTCAGTGTTTCTGAATGTGTAACCCAGACACAAGCCCCCTTTTGAAGCAGACTGGCTCAGAGCTGTAGGACTGCTCCATAGAAAGTCTACACGGGCTTCTGGGTGAGAGGTATTGTGGTATAGGCGTGGGAAGGCTTAGACTTCAGAGACAAAGGAGGGGTGGTGGATGAGCCTGGGAGGGCTGGCTTTAAGCTGGACTGGAGTCCACCTGTCCAAAGAGGGTCTGGAGGAAGGGAAGAGAACTGCCCATTACCAATCTCCCGAGCCCGACTGTCTGGCAGTAAACCACATCACAAGGTATTGAGCAAGATAAGGGCAGAAGGGCTTCTGCTTGCCTCCTGGGGCTGGGCACTAAGTGAGAGGAAGAGGGAATGAAGCCCTCATCTCTCCCCTATTGCCCCTTTATGTCTGCTACTGTGTTACTTGCCTACCCTGAAAGAAAAATAGGAAACCACCTTGAAGGACTGGGCCAGCTGCGGAAGGCACGGTTTCCTCCAAATGGGCACCTGAGGTTGCTATGCAACCCCTTTCTCTAGCTCAAAACACTCTCTGGGCACCCCCCCCCACATTTCAGCCCCCTCGGGGTTCTTTTTTGCCTCGCTTCTGTCCCTTTCAGAAAACCTCCACAGCTGGACTCCCACCGCCTCACACCCGGTCGTGGCTCCTCAGCTCCCCCTGAGCCCCTGATCTCAGCCTCCCTCAGTTTCCCTGAACTTGCAAACCTCCCCACTTCGGAGCCTTTTTCCCGGCACAAACCATTACCCAGAACTTGCCCCCTGGGCGTCCCTCCGCGCCCCCCGTAGGGTCCCCTCCTCCCCGGCCCTTCGCCAGGCCTCCTGCTCCCCCAAACCGCCCCGCTCCAGTCGACCCCTCAAGCCCCTCACTCAAGGCTCCCCCATCCCTCTCCCACCGCACTCAGGCCCTTCCCCCGGCCGCGAAGCCCCCAGGCGCCCCACAGGCCCGGCCCGGCCCGGCCCCGCTCTCACCTCCTCCATCTCCTGCACCATGCTCGTCAGCTGCTCCTCGTCCTCCAGCAGCTCGTTCAGCTGCACCAGCGACAGCCCCGCGAAGCGGCCCGCGACCCCCGCCGCCCCCGGCCCGGGCCCCGCCGCCGCCATCGCCGCCATGCCCGCCCCGGCCCCGGCCCCGGCCCGGGC